CCGCCATCGTCGTTCGGGTAGTCATCGAATTACTCGGGCTCGAAATCGCCTTCGTCGATATCCTCGGCTCCGTATCCTCGCATCGGTCCGGTTCATCAGATCGAGAGGCAGGAACGAGAGCAGCCACCAGCTCTTTGTTTTCCTGCGCGATCGTCGCATCAGTCAGACACACCACTTCTGGTGTCCTCGTCTCCGCTCTCGCCGGCCTCTTGAAACCTTGCTCACCGAAGTCACACAGAGAGAGGCGCCACTGCTTCGTCTTGGGGTTATCTTGGGATCTCCGAAGGGCCACGGTAACACCCAGAGTCTTCAGGGTGAGCAATCCCCTGGAGGTGTCCATAATCCCGGAAAGGTCCTCGAGCAAGCCCTCTGAGATCAGCAGCGGGGTCCAGCCTGGCACTACACAAAATTTGAGCACTCCACTTCTGCCCCCAAGGCCCACAGGATACTCGGCAACCCAATTTGACTGAGCAGCCTGGCCATTCGCGAAGTGGAAGCTCCTGCCGATACTAGGAACGTATCTGATACTTAACCCAAAAAGTCTTCGGAGAGCATAGTAGTGCAACGCAATCGTGTGGTCCCCAACGATTAGCCTAGAACACCCCGTATCCACCATGCCCTCCAAGACGCCCAGTAGCTGAGCTGCTGAAAACTTGCACAACCTCCTCTTTGCTTCCTCGAGACACTCCCGAAACCTGGACGGGCCCATCTCGGCTCCCGAGGGGGATGTGGTGCCGTCGGCGCTGGAGGCCTGCTTGGCCTGGGCCGTCTGCTTGCGCGCCTTCTCGCGCAGCCTGCGCTCACGATTCTTGATCTTCGCCGGGTCGTCGGGCTCGGGCGGCGGCGGCGGGTCTGCCGCCGGCTCCTCCGGGAAGTCAAAGACGTAGGCCTCGTCGAGCTCCTCATGGTCGTGATCCTCCTCGGCGTGGGCCATGCCGACTCCTTCTGCTGGGGCCTTGCGCGCTGGTGGGTTCCTGCACTCCCGCGTCCAGTGGCCCACTTGGTTGCAGCGGTGGCATCGGGTCCTCTTCAGCTCCTCGATCTTCCTACGAGCTTCCCTCTGGTACTCCATGCTACCCTTGCCGCGGCCGCCGGACTTCCCCTTCGGCTCACTCACGTCACGGTAGCCCCTGGACGTCTTGCGGTCGCGGACGATCCTCCTCGTCTCCTGCCAGCTCCCACGGCCTCCAGGTCCTGCTTGCCACGCCGCCAGCACCGCGTGGGCCTCATCCTCGTCAAGGATGTCTTCCTCGTTGATCTCCTCCTGGTCGGAGCCCTCCAGCGCCATCAGCGCTTGTGCGATCGGGTCCTCGTCCTCGTACAGCTCGTCATCCTCATCCACGTAGAACGCCTTGCCACTCTTCTGCTGCCCCGAGGTGTCCCCCTGGTAGCTCCTCGTGGTCTTCTCAAGCGAGCTGTCGTCTCGAAGCCCCTTGAGCGCCGTCCTCACATCATCGTACGCCAGTGAACCCGACGTCTGCAGGATCACGGCCATGCGCTCCGTGTGGTCCAGCTTCGCCTGCCGGACGAGGATGTAGCCCTGCACATCGTCCAGCGTCACCTGCAGCTTCCTCAGCCTGTCGAACGCCTTCTTGATCCTCATCGAGTGCTGCTGCAGGCTCTCTCCCCTCTTGCGCTCCGACCCGTAGAACGTGTGCTCGAACTCCATGTACTTGTCATACACATTCTTCGGCATGATCTCCTGCTCGAGCGCCCTCACGATGTTCTCTACTCCATCTTCGCCCTCGAGCTCGCTCTGGTCGAGACCTTCCACGATGCTCTGGATCTGGTCGTCTCCACCCTCCAGAATGCTGTAGTAGGCGTGGAGACCCCGCTGGTGAGCTGGAATCCCCGTCGCCACCATCGACCAGATCCGTAGTCTGCGCACATACTTCCGCAGCTCCTCGATCGTCGACTCCCTGATGGTGGGTGGCGGAACGTACCTTCCGGCACTCGCGCCCTCATGCGTGACCGCAGCCACGATCTCTTCACCGTCCTCGTCATCTCCCATGTTGTAGCGATGGGCCGCGATGTCTCCGCCGTGTGGTCACTGTCCACCGTGCTGTCTCTGAAACTCTGGTCCGAGGAAGCGCAACGCAGCGCTCCGCTACCACCGAACACGGTGGAGCGGCGGAAACGTAAGCGTGAGCTCTCGTATGCCTCCGTTTTCAGTATCAGCTCAGGCTAACATGTGTCTGCCTCCAAGGGGCCGAAGCCCCTGATCGAACCAAAGGGTTGCGGAAAGGGGCTGAGTGTCTGGCATCCTCAGAAGGCCTCTAGAGGGACTCTGGGTCGACTCGCACTGTTTATTAAATCGCTTCGCTCATTCCGCCGGCCCTGGAGCCCTCTTTAGGGCCTCTTGGGGGCCTCTTGGGGACCTCTTGGGAGTCTCTTGGGGCTCCTTGGCGGCGTCTTGGGGGCCCCCAGGGCCTCTTGGAGGGCTTTTGGGGGCCTCGTGGGAAGGGAGGGGGGGCAGTCGATTGCGGCTCCCCCCTCGGAGGCCACGATCCTCGTGACGGGTGTCGAAAAATGGCCCTCCCTTGGAATGCTCTGGTGGCGTCTCCCGGGACCTTGCCGGGGTACTTTCCGTCTGGGGGCCCCCAGGGGCCGTTCCGCGCGCGCGAAGTAGAAATATTGTTAACCAGTTACCAGAGATCTTAGCACGCCTCTGGCCCGTTGGGCCGGCGAATTTGTGTGCTTGGGCCCCGGGAAAAGAGGGGGAAGTGTGGGAAGTGGGGCATCGAAGTCGAAAGCCCAGAAAAACGATTGGAAAATGCAGGGGATCCTCTGCTGTGTGCCTCTTTATTTGTGTGTGTGTGTGTGTCCTCGGGCCCCCTGGAACTCAGCCACGCGCAGAGGGGGGTAGGGGGAGGGGGGAGGGCTTCTTAGAAGCACCCCTGCTTCTTAGAAGGCGTGGGCCTTCTCTATAGACGTGAGGCCGAGGCCTTCTAAGAAGCAGGGTGCTTCTAAGAAGCCTTCCCCCTCCCCCTGCCCCCTTTTGCGCGCCGCCAAGGAACACTGAGGATCGACGTTGCTGGACGCCTCCTGGCCACCTCCGAGCCCGCGGGGGCGCCCTCGCCGCCGCGGCCGGGCCCGGCGCCGCGGCGGCGGCGCCGGCGGCCTCGGCGTGGTCGCCGCGGTGGTGGTCGTCGTCGTCGCCCCAACGTGCGCCCTCGAGGGCGCGCAGCTCTTCGCGCTTCGCGGTTCGGCTCCGATTCCTCCTCATCCTCCTCTCGGGGGCGGAAAAGAGGGGGGTGATGACTGGGGGGGGGGATATCACGGCGGGGGCCATGATATTTCCCCAGATTTGATGGCGCCTCTTCTTATTTTATTATTACGTCCCTGGCCCCCCCGCTGGGCCGCGCACATGCCGCCGATCATGATTTGCACCCCCCCCTCTTGGACACCCCCCTCTTGGCCGCTCCCGATCCTCTTCTCCCCTGGGAGGCGGCGCGAGAGCGCGAAATTATTCTGCACTTCGCCCCCGCACGCCTCACGGCGGCGCGCTCCGTCTGGTCTCCGGCCCGAGTGTTCCTGCAGCGCTTACGTTTAAGCCGGGCTTGTCCCCCTACATGGGGGATTTTCGACGACAAATAAAACATATCCCAGCACATAATCAAAAGATAGTCCAAACATATTCTGGGGATATGTTTGGGGTATGTTTTAACCTGTTTGGCGCATATGTTAGGTATTGTTTATTTTTCGTCGAAAATCCCCTTGTAGGGGGACAGGCCCGACATAAGCTTAAGTCGGGCCTGTCCCTCTACAGGGGGAATATCCAACAATAGTTTAAAAATACTCCGGGAACGATTTCCGTCGGCTATGTTTGACCATTTTGGGTGTATGTTGTGACGAGTTTTATTTCTCGTCCACAATCAGCCTGTAGGAGGACATGCCCGACCTAGTGCAATGCTGTTGAGGCTTCTGCCTTCAGGAGAGGATGAGGTCCTGCGTGCGCCTTTGTGTCATGTCAGCGCCGTCGTCCCGCGGGCGGACTGACAAACGGACAACACACACACAGCCATACCCATGGGCGGGTCGGCGGGAGGAGGACTTGCTATGGGTATGGGCGCGGGTTGTCGGACTGCGGGGGAGGCTCCCGTTCGAGCGGGGGCCCCATCCGACAGCACGCACCCGTCGCCCCCTCCGTCCTCCCCATGGGTATGGGTGCGCGTTGCTCGTTCGTCACGGAAGCCTGTACACGCCGGTCATTGAAAGTAGGTATTTTTGGATCCTCACATCCCAATCCATTTCAAGCGCCTTCCTACTTCAAGAATCGACATGCTTTTGCTGTGTTTTGTTATTCTCTGGGAGGGCCTTGACCCAGTCCACTATATCCGCCTTCCTACTTCATGTTTCTACCTACTTCTTCCGACCGATGTGTACTCGGCTGCGCCTCCTCGCCTCTCGCTGCCCGTTTTGTTTCGCTTCGTTTTCGGCAGACCCTCGGTTCTCGCACAGTTCCTGCGGTCTGCCCGTGGCGTCTCCGGCGCGCCGGGCGCTCCTCGCTCGCTCGCCCTCCTCGCTCGGGTCTGGGGCACCCCTCCGCGGGCTTCATTTGCTGTTCTGGCACAGCTAGGATGTCGCCTTGTGATGGCGTCCACTCCGCTCCATTCCTCCTCTTCTATTCCAACGACACTACGCCGACATCCACATCCAGGACTTCCCTCCTCCCCTCCTCCGTCGCAGATTTGTTTTTATTGTCTCGCTGTCCATATGCATGATCGCGTGTAGTCCATACGTACAGGTTTGAAGAGGCTACGGCCTCCTCCACCAGGTCTCGAGCAGGCCCGGACAGCTGTCCGCAGTGGTTGTTCGTTCGTTCGTTCGTTCCTCATCCCCGTCCTCCTCCTCCAGCACCCGATCCCGGTTGGCCCATGGGTTTGGGGCCCAAGACGGGAGTTGACCAGCCTCGTGGTCATGCAGAAGAGGTGCATCGGACCCGAGGGCACCTGTTTATCTTGTCTACCCTCCTGGTGGGAGGGGTCTCCCGGCGCGAGGTCCCCATCGAGCTGCTGTTCCATGCTCTCAAGGGCCGGCCGTCGGCTGAGAAGGGCTGACCGCGACAGGGGGCCGCTCCACAGGTGCTGCCATGAAGCCAAACTCGGGGGTGTCCAAGGGGCGTTGAAGACTGGGGGGGGGAAGCCTTTTCTATACCCTGGCGATAACGGGTTTGATCGGGGGTGGGGCGGGGAGGGGGCCAGTCACGTCACGCTTCGCGCCGGCGCCGTCTGGGCATGTCTGGGGATGGTTCCTTCTTGGACGGCGCCGGTGCGAAGCGTGACATGACCATTGGGGGGGGGCGGGGGGGCAGGGGGCGTTATCGCGAATAAAGACAATGGGCTCGAGTGATCATGTGGTGTGCGGGGCCGTGAGATCTCCAGGATGTCACGGCGCCCTCGGCCTCGTTGAGGGCGTGGTTTGGCCACCCCCGCGTCCGTGCACGTGGCTCGGTCCATGATGCGCACCCCGCCCTCTCTTGGCCTCCTCCGTCAGCGGCGCACCCCAGAAAAGGTTTGGAGGGAGACGATGATGATGATGATGATGATGAGGAGGAGGAGGAGGAGGAGGAGGCGGAGGATTATGATGATGATGATGATGATGATGATGATGATGATGATGGTGATGGTGATGGTGATGGTGATGGTGATGGTGATGATGCTGATGCTGATGCTGATGCTCATGCTCATGCTCATGCTCATGCTGATGATCATGTTGATGCTGATGCTGAGGATGATGATGATAATGAGGATGCTGATGATGATGATACTGATGCTGATGATGCCGAAGATGCCGATGATGCTGATGATGCTGATGCTGCTGATGATGATGATAATGAGGATGATGATGATGCTGATTATGCTGCTGATGCTGATGCTGCTGATGATGCTGATGATGATGCTGATGATGCTGATGATGCTGATGATGCTCATGATGCTGATGATGCTGGTGGTGGTGGTGGTGATGGTGGTGGTGGTGAGGATTGATGGTGGTGGTTCGGAGGGAAACGGTTCTTGACGCTGCTAGGTGGCTTCGTCGCTTCGGGGCCCAGGGACATTTTTTTGGAAACGGTGAAAAAACGGCCCTGTCGTTTCCGGGGCCCGCAAAGGTCGGAGGTCCACAGTGATTTCTTGGATCGGCCTGGTGGCGTGCGGAGCGCGCCAGGGGGCGGCGTCGGAGGCGCCGCCAGGGGGCTCCGGCGCCGATCCGAGGACTCCGCGCGGACCTCCGAATGTTGATGTTGATGTCAGAGAAAACAATTACAGACACAAGTAAAGGTAGACCCCCATTGAAATATGGGACAGACTTGACATGGAGGGGAAAGCGAAAATCCGTGAGATATCGAAAAGTGTGGGGAGTCCTGGATCTCGTGTCTGTTTGCTTGTGTCTCCCTGGGCCTCTTTCATAATTTAAGAGGCTTACGTCATATCGCCGGCCCCCACAAGAGGCTTGGAGTCCCAGCTTTAGGCCTCGTGGGCTTCCCAGGCACTATGTGGGGATCTCTTGGGCGTCTTGTGGGAGCCGTGTGGGGGCCTGGCTGAGCCGGTGGCAGGCAGTGCTTGAGGCTGGCTGGGGTCCGCTTTGGGGGGCCTCTTCGGGGCCTCTTGGGCGCCTCTTGGGGCTTCTGTGGGGGCCTCTGGGCCGCACGGGGGCTTGCCTCCCGGGGCCCCTTTCCGTACCTGTGCCGCGCGGCCAGCTGCGGCAGGTTCGCGCCCGCGCCGGCGCGAACGGGCCGCGCAGGCGCGGTCGTCCTCGTGTATGGCCAGGACCCCTTGGTGATAAGGGGACCTGGTCAGTTTTAAGTCGGGCGTGTCCCTCTACAGTGCGAGTATCCACAGCCATATCCACTGCAGTATGGAGTTTCGGGCACCCTTCCCCAGATGCCCGAGGCGCACTGGATATGGATAAATTTGCCCCCTAGAGGCTTGATTTTTATTCATGTCCAGTGCACCTCGGCCTTGTGGCGCTCCTCGAAAAGAAAAACGAAGGCGCACTGGATATGTATAGAAATCTTACCCGCATACAGGAGGAGTAGTCAAAAATGGTTTAAATAATAGTACGGGGACGACTTTTTGATGATTTGGCTATTTTGAATTTTTTTGTTGACTATTTGTTTGGTGGTCTAAAAACCCCCTGCAGGAGGACACGCCTGACCTAAGGCTAGTAATAGGGCCCCGGAACCCCTAAATTAGCCAGTATCACTAGACCAGGTCTGCCGTAGTTGGTGTTCTTTTCGGGTGACGGCAGTTCCGTTAGGGGAACGGGGCGGGGGGCGCTATCCAGTACACATCACTAAACCAAGTTCTGCCAAGGTTCGGCGGCGAGCGGGGGGGGAAGTGAGAAGGAGAAGGCCCTCTCAGAAGGTGGCGGGGCTTCTCAGAAGCCGTCGCGCCTTCTGGAAAGGTTTTCGTTTCTGTTTCCGGGTGAGGCTTGCAACATTTCTCTGGAGGTTGGGGTTAAGTCGGGCTTGTCCCTCTACAGGGGGGATAATATCAAATAGTTAGGGGATTTGTTTAATAGCATTTCCTGACCATTCTGGAGCATGTTTCGAGTCTTTTCTTTTTTCCGTCGCAAATCCCCTGTATGGGGGACACGCCCGACTTAAAGCCTGGGGGACTTCCGAACCTTCCGAGAAGGCCTTCTCCTTTGCACGCCCCCCCCCCCCCCCTGGGGGCTCGCTCGCCGCCAGCTCCTGCGCCGGGCGAGCTCTCGGTGCGTGGCCGGCAGTGTGTGCTGTGGACGCCTCCTCGTGGGCGGGACTCTTCCAAACGTGGGCTGGACCCCTCCTCCTCCTCCTCCTCCTCCTCCTCCTCCTCCTCCCCCTCCTCCTCCTCCTCCTCCTCCTCCCCCTCCTCCTCCTCCTCCTCCTCCTCTTCCTCCTCCTCCTCCTCCTCCTTCTCCTCCTCCATTCCTGTTCCTCATGGAGAACTTTTCCCTGTCGCACCTTCTAAGAAGGCCTTCCCTCCTCCCTTTCCCCCCTCGCCTCTCGCTCGCCCCCCCGCGAGCGTGGGGGGGCCGCGCCACGCTCCGCAGAGGGCGGCCCGTGGCGCGGCTTCTTCGGTGCCGCTGTCCCGACGATCCGATGCAGCATCCTGGGCTAAGTCGGGCGCGTCCCTCTACAGTCGGAGGCGGATAGAAGTGGGGGAAGGAGTAGAAGGGGGAGGAGGAGGAGGAGGAGGAGGAGGAGGAGGAGGAGGAGGAGGAGGAGGGAGAGGATAATCGGAGGCGGACAGACCTCCTACCCTGACGCATAGATGAAGGAGTTGGCCGTTTTCGGTTCGCGAGAGGGCGTCGCGGCCGTCATTTTTTGCGGGTCCAGGTCCGGCGGATTCCGTCCCATGCCGTTTTCGCCAAGGGGAGGTTTGCGAAAGGGAGGTTTGTCCACCGCCGATACAAGAGGAATGTCCAAACATAGTCAAACAAGTAGCTAGTAATTCCCCATATCCTAAGGCTTGGGGTTCTTGTTATTACTCTGACGCCTCCCACTCCTCCTCCTCCTTCTTCCTCCCGCCTCCCGCCTCCCTCCTCCCAATGATAATCACCAGATAAGACAAGACAATATAATATACTACAAGATAAGACAAGATAGCACAATATATGATAAGGTAAGGTAAGATATATGACAAGGTAGGATAATATATAAGATAAGACAGCCTATGGAGTAATAAGATAAGACAAGATATGATGCGATAAGATGAGTTGATATAAAATAAGCTAATGCAAGATAAGAGATTTCAATATAAGAAAAGATAGAGGGTAATAAAGGTAAGATAAGATAGGACTCGATAATATAAGATGGGACTCGCTCTCACTCAGACTCACTCACAGTCACATTCACTCACACTCACACTCTCTCATGATCACAAAACGCTGCCAGGGGCATCATTTGGGAGCCCCAAGGGGGAGCCACTCTGGCTGATCTCACGAGCCCGTTCGCGCCGATTTTGGTGGGACGTCTCAGCTAAAATTGCCGTTTGGCCTCCCCAACATGTCTCTCTTGAGAGCCTCATGGTCACAAAACGCTGCCAGGGGCATCATTTGGGAGCCCCAAGGGGGAGCCACCCTGGCTGATCTCACGAGCCCGTTCGCGCCGATTTTGGTGGGACGCCTCAGCTAGAATTGCCGCTTGGCGTCCCCAACATGTATCTCTTGAGAGCCTCATGGTCACAAAACGCTGCCAGGGGCATCACTTGGGAGCCCCAAGGGGAGCCACCCTGGCTGATCTCACGAGCCCGTTCGCGCCGATTTTGGTGGGACGCCTCAGCTAGAATTGCCGTTTGGCGTCCCCAACATGTATCTCTTGAGAGCCTCATGGTCACAAAACGCTGCCAGGGGCATCATTTGGGAGCCCCAAAGGGGAGCCACCCTGGCTGATCTCACGAGCCCGTTCGCGCCGATTTTGGTGGGACGTCTCAGCTAAAATTGCCGTTTGGCCTCCCCAACATGTCTCTCTTGAGAGCCTCATGATCACAAAACGCTGCCAGGGGCATCATTTGGGAGCCCCAAGGGGGAGCCACCCTGGCTGATCTCACGAGCCCGTTCGCGCCGATTTTGGTGGGACGCCTCAGCTAGAATTGCCGTTTGGCGTCCCCGACATGTATCTCTTGAGAGCCTCATGGTCGCAAAACGCTGCCAGGGGCATCATTTGGGAGCCCCAAGGGGGAGCCACCCTGGCTGATCTCACCAGCCCGTTCGCGCCGATTTTGGTGGGACGCCTCAGCTAGAATTGCCGTTTGGCCTCCCCAACATGTATCTCTTGAGAGCCTCATGGTCACAAAACGCTGCCAGGGGCATCATTTGGGAGCCCCAGGGGGGGGTCCACCAGGGGCTTCATAGTCACCAAACGCTGCCAGGGGCAGCATTTTGGCTTCCCAAAGAGGAGTCGCCCCGGGCCTCCTAGTCGCCAGACACTGCCAGGGGCACCATTGGGATTCAGACTCGCACCCAGACTCACTCATACACAAGCTCACTCACACCCAGATTCATTTCTTCAGAGTCAGGCACACACAGACGTACCCATACTCAGACTCACCCACACTCAGGCTCACCTAACCCAGAC